AATTACAACCCCATTAACTCAACCATCGTAGTATATAACTGGGTTAGCTTAATGTTATATTATTATGCAACACATCTAAAGCATGATGGCTTTGAAAGACTGTGGCATATAAATATTATAAATTGTAGTTTCAGTATCATCGACAAGATTGTCCATTGTAATCCATTAATATAAAACAATAATCAAGTTCGCATCCTCTAGAAAAAAATGATATCACCAGGGAAAAAGGATTATCTAAATCTAAATTCTTTACAACAATATTTTCCCAAGTATTACAGTGACACTTAGTGGAAGGAGAAGGAACATGCCAACTCATGTCCAGCCTTTTCTTCTGCAATAAATTAAAATCACAGATAGTGTGCAATCACAGTGAACTAACGTCAATTGCTCACATACACAATTTTGCTTTTGTTCCTTTTTCCTTCCATGCTTTTTTAATATAACAATCATCCCACTTTTTAAAATACTTTTAAATTGGTAGTCAATGGCTAGATTATTAGTTTTTGAATAGACAACATCTTCATGAGTGTCATCTGCAAGTGTTAGGAACTGTATATTTTTAAAATTAAATTCCTACCATCTTATTAGGTGGGTCAACAAACATTTAAATATCTAATTGGTATCTTAAGTCTCATGAGCTAGTCATTTTTTAATTGTATTCTTTTAAACTTTGTTATTGTAATGTGCAAAGAAACAAAACAAAATTAAAAGTATAAAGTATAAAACTATGTTTTGAAAAAGCAATAAAATAAAATCAAAATTACAAACTAAGCCTTGCTCAAACAAAATCATAATAGCCAATTTTTCCCGTTAACTTAATAAAGATCCTGTTCAAAGGCTAGAGCAAAGCACATATTTTCAGTTTTTTTAAAAAAGTATTGTACAAGTAGTCTTTGACTTACAACCACAATTGAGCCCAAAATATATGTTGTTAAGTGAGACATTTGTTAAGTGAACTTTCCCCAATTTTACCTTTCTTGCCACCGTTGTTAAGTGAATCACTGCAGTTGTTAAGTTAGTCATACAGTTTTTATGTGAATCCATCTTCCCCAATGACTTTGCTTGTCAGAAGGTGGCAAAAGCTGATCACACGACCCCAGGTCACTGCAACCATCATAAATATGAACCAGTTGCCAAGCATCCAGACTTTGATCATTGACCATGGGGATGCTGCAACAGTCATAAGTGTGAACAATAGACATGTCACTTTTTTCAGTGCTGGTTTCATTTTGAACAGTCATTAAACTGTTGTAAGTCGAGGACTAGTTGTAGATTCTTTCCAACAAAGCAAGATCAAAATTTTGGCTTGCTCTAAACATCTGTAGGATGTATTGAGATATTTAAAATCTCCAGGAGGAAAATGTGTAACAGATGGATTGGTTGTACCTAGAAAAGCCAACCATTTAAGTGCCCACAAGCCAAACTATGTAGAATTTCAAAGGTTAAAAAAACAGCACTTTGAACTATATTCTAAATCTTGTTGAAAGCTAATTCAATCCAATGGATCTGACTTGCCAGCATGTAGGTAGTAGCATGCAGCACCAATTGCAGTTTCTGAGTCTTCTTCAAAGATCATGGAATAAATTGCATTTTGCAGTATTCTATTCTTGTGATCTGGAGAGTATGAATACTAGAATTATCTGAGCTATCACTATCCTACTCATTTATTACTGAATTAGTATTAACAATATTCCTGGGACCTGATCCTAAGTTCTAAGATCTCAGTATAAAAATCATAATAATTTAATTTTGACTATCAGAAAGTGAATTAGGCAGTTGGACAAGTAAATATTTGGTTGCTAGCACACGTGGAGGAAATAGATACTTTATTTTTAATGTCAGTATTAAATCCTTTATATTTTCTCTGTATATATGTGTTTGCAGCTGAGCAAAGAACTAGACTAGGGTCTTGACGAAGTATTTTAAAGGAGCAATTTTCAAAACAAGCATAAGTGAAACTCTTTGTGCTCTTTGAAGCACAAAAGCAGCCATTTCTCTCCCAGTCTTCACAATTGCTTTGAAAACTCTCTCTGGTTGTAGCATGCACTTGTGAAGTCACAAACAACATTCCACTGGGACAACCAGTGAAATGAAGTGAACTGAAGTAAGCGTGTATGTACTGATTTAGACAGCAAGGGACAATGTTCTAAATCACCAAAGGTTACTACTTCAGTTAAGCTTAAGCCTTAAGCTCTTAACATGTTATTTTATAGCAGTAGTAAATTTTAGGACAAACCCCCCCCCACCTCTTGACACAGATAAGTTTTTGATCCAAACCAAGTAGTACTTTTCAAGACACGTGTGTGGCCAGGCATGGCAAGCTCCAAAAGTTTAATTGCTGAAAAGATTTATATTTCCTGATCAGGCAGGGAACACTGCTAAACTTTTCCCCATTGTGTTGTTCATGCATTTTTCATTTGGAATCCATTGATAAATACTATTTTGCAATTTTATTAAGTTGGCCTTTAAAATAATTTAGATTATATGCTTTATAAATATGCATAGAATTCAAATGAAGCAAATGATATATGCTAGGATATGACAATCACATTTCATAAAATATTGTATTCATACTGAGCCACAGAATAAGTGACAATGTTTTAAATCCTTCTCCGAAATGTATAGCCTTTAAAGTGTGCTGATTAATAGTGAATTTAATTACAGCTTGTTTACATAGATAAGAAATCACAGTTTTAAATGTGATTGCTTGTCTACCTTAATTTCTTATAGAAACAATGTTGACGTGTGGGTTGAAAAACAAAAATATTTATGTTTGTTAAAGGTACCTCCAGATTTTTATATTTTATTTTGAAAATATTTTCTCTTTGAGTAGATAATGACAATGTAAAGATTAATGGTCAGTACCTTCATGCCTTAGAAGTTGACATCTAGCTGTGTAAAGCACAGTCTGCAGTTGTGGCTATGGATCAAAATCTGAAAGACAGCACGTATGGCATTGTGATCCAGGGCCTGCCTCTTTTATATGTGCCTGTGATGCCAACACATGTACAAAAGAGGTGGAGCTTGGCCCACACTAGTTGTGTCCACTATTTTGTAGATTTTGATGTGATTGCACATACTGGCAATGGTGGGATGCTGCCGGTGAAACAACTGTTTCACTAATCGTGTGCTTCGGGGAAATAACACAGCTGAGGCGCAGCAATCTGCTGTGCCGTGCGAATCAGCCGAGAGATATAGGTGGGTACAACACAGGAGCGGGCGGGTGGGCCCACATAATCGTCAGAGTGAACCAGTTCTGAGCCAGCTGATCATCCGAGCTAGGGATTCACCCGAACCAGTCCAAACCGGCAGAATCCCACCCCTGCATACTGGCTGTATGAAGTAAAATATAAATGTTTGGATTCAGTCAATGAATGTACAAGCACAGTACGGATGTATGTGCTCAAGATGGCAATAGGAGTAGGGCAAGTGTTGAACAAATGTACCTTTTCAATTAAATGAACTTAGCTTATCTGGTGGTGGTTCCTATCTAGTTTACCTGGCAAAGCCAATATCAATTTTGCAAATCTGAAAGTACAATTCTTGCCCCTGCCCCATCTCCTTTGCAGCTTGAGAAGCTAGGTAGGGTTTCTTTCAGCCTCTTGCCTCTCCCACTGTTTAGTTGCAGATTGTGCTGCCTCTCATCTGTTCCACTGGCAGCATCTCTTTGCCCATTATCTCAAGGTCTTTCCCACATGCCATTACATCTTTGCTGGAAACAAGACTTCGATTGTATCATCAATTTAAATGTGGCCTCAGCTGCAGCTGGTTTGTAAGGCCTTAGGAAAAAAACAAGTTTACTCAAGACCTAATTTAATTTACAGTAAACTAGCAAATCTGTCAAAATAACTCATAAAACATACTCCAGTCTACTAAATTTTCACTGGAAAGTTTGTCCTGATGTGGTTTTTTTTTACAATGTAAAATATACCACTTGATTGGACTTCTTTATCTAAGGTAAAACATTTAACCTGAAAATACCTCCTCCTGAAGAAGGAGAATTTGCTTATTAAGTGACTCAGTGTAAAGGAAGTTCCTTCTATTTTTGAAGCAAATGTGAGGTTACTGGAGATACTTGAGATATGTAAGGGACTGTCGTGGAGATCCAGATGCAAGTTTCTCTTTTGTCAATGAAAAGTCCTGCCTCCTCACCAAATTAGAGGAAGAATGTTAGAAATAAAGGTTCTTTTTGTAATTCATCCCCCTAATGTACATGGGAGTGTATTAATTCTAAATGGCAATTAGCCCTGTCAGAATTCTTATAAATCCACCCTTTTCTTCTAAAAGAGACTCTGAGAATAATGCTTGAAAGGAATCATGTTCACTTTTAGTTAGAGAATGAGAGCCATTTTCAATGGAGAAACCCCTCCTGAATGTTTCATTGAGAAAAATAGAAGGGTCATTGGGGCTTCCTAATAAAACCACAATCCTCTTTGGTGAACTCTTTGGTGATTAAATCATATTGTGACTGGGGACTTGCAAATTAGACACATCATGATATTCTTCATAATATTTAAGTTTAACTCCTATTCTAATTTGCTCCTCTTACATAAATCCTTCCTCTGAAATCAAAATTCACCTTTGAATGAAGTCCTTCTCTAGCACCAGAAAAAGGATTCTCCAGGCAATTGTTAATAGGCAGTAAAGGTTACATTTCCTATGTACTTTTCAATCATATACCTTTCATATAATTTAGAAACATTCCTATAATAAAAAAAAAGCCTTATCTTATAACCAGCACTTCTATTTTCCCCATAATTGAAGTTCTCAGAGTGAATTAAAGAATTTAAAACATTAAAAACTGAAAGACAAAAATAGTTCAAACAAGAAAATTCACTGATAAATAATATGAGAATTATATAAGAGTCCAGTCTAATGCAGATCCTTAACATTAAAAGAAAAACAAAAGTATGCAAATATCTGAAAGAACACTTAAATTATTCCTAGCTGATCAAATCTTACTTTCTTAGTTTAAAAATATATTTCAAGAAGTTATCTTAATTAGGAAAAAGACCAAGCAAACACACGTTTTTTTTCCCTTGTAACATTGTTTATGTACAGCTGATGAAATCCCAATGGAAGATGAGAATCTTACAGTTTGATCCTGAAGCCGTAAGCCACCATGGATTTATGGTATTTGGAGAGGTGAGAATAAATGGGAATATCCACAATAAATTCTTCTTGTGGAACTTTCTGCATAAGTTTCGTTCGGTCCTCCCCATGGCAATGTCTCTCACTTTTCTCTAGAAATAGGGTGTCTTCACGGGCCCTACTATATAGTTCAACTTGATCAGCGTGCTAATGAAGGGAAATCAATTGTTTTATGTCCATGCAACAAGAGCCTTCCAATAATGACATGATTAACATTGGTATTAATTTATTTGAAATACAGGTAGTCATTGAGTTACAAATCACAGTTGAGCCCAATTGTTGCTAAGTGAAACATTTGTTAAGTGAGTTTTGCCCCGTTTTAGAACTTTCTTGTCACAGCTGTTAAATGAATCACTGCAGATGTTAAGTTAGTAACATGGTTGTTAAGTGAATCTGGCTTCCCCATTGACTTTGCTTATCAGAAGGTCAAAAAAGGGGATCACATGACGCAGGATACTGCAATCATCATAAATATGAATCAGTTGCCAAGAGTCTGAATTTTGAGCACATAACCATGGAGATGCTGCAACACTTGTCAGTATGAAAAACTGTGATAAATCACTTTTTAGTGCCACTGTAACTTTGAACTGTCATTAAACAAACTTGTAAATCAAAGGCAACCTATAATATATTTATGCATGTAAATTCCATTGATTTTAATACCATTTCAGTCAAAAGAGTCTCTGGGTGGTGAACAACAAACCAGAAACCAACTCTTAAAATATACCACAATTACTAATCATAACTTCTTCTTCTTTTTCTTCAGCGTTTGTCTCGCGCTCTGGCGAGGTCCGCTAATGTCCTTATCTATTACTAATTACTAATTAGTAATCATTAAACCAAAACTAATTACTAATCATAACTGAATACTAGTATTATAATTCCATGAGCAGAAAAAAAATTACAGTGGATTAATCTGAGTATTCAGTACCGGTATGTACTCTTGAGATCTAATTTGAGAAGTCTTAATTTCAAAAGCTTCCTTGAAGCATATGATGCCCCAATGAATATCCCTACCCTACATTGTCAATCTTCAAAGGATCATTCATTGTTAAAAAAAAAAACTCACTGATGTCCACGGCTCTACATTCTTTGAAGAGGAAACCTCTTTTTTAAATAAAATGAAATGGTCCTAATTAATTCTGGAAGTGGAGATGCCTTCTCTCTGTGTTTTCTTTGGGTGGAATCATAGATCTGGAAAGGTCTTTGACTACAATTACTTGCTTATGTAGGATCCAGATTGATGGATCCCAATCAGATGGCCATCTAACTTCTGATGAATACATCCAGTGAAGGGAAACATACCATCTCACTCTCTGGACCGTTGATTTAATTACCAAAATGATTTTCTGAAAGTATTTTCTCCCACTAACATTTAACTAGAAACTCTTCCTATATTTTCAGTCCTTTATTCAATATCCTCAGGAATGGTGGGAAATGGTCTTGAATTTCTTCTATAGGACACCCTTTCAGAAATTCAGAATACTGTACTGTCTTAACCTTCCTCAATTGTTTTTTTCTCAGTCTAATTCTACCCAGCTGTTTCATTCCCTTTTGTTGTTGTGTAACTTCAAGTCAGTGTTGACTCCTAGTGACTACCTGGAGAAGTCTCTATAGTTTGCTTGGCAAAATTTCAGAACTGGTTTGCCACTGCTTCTTTGCTAATGCTGAGAGGGAATGAACTGATCCAGGGCCACCCAGCTGGCATTGTGCCTAAGTGGGACTAGAATTCATAGTTTTCCAGTTTTTAGTCTGGTGCCTTAATCACTATACTAATTTAATTCTAGTCCCAAGTTAATCACTGTTGTACTTCCCTCAGCCACTTAAGAATTTTCTGAAATGTGGTGCCTGAAAAGTACTCAAAGTAGTATCTCACTAAATCAGAATATACATGCATACATGTATGTTTCAATAATGATGTCTAGAGACATGTAAAGAGACATGTTTGCCTTGGACACCAGATTGAGCATGATTGAATCAGACATGATTGCACAGAGTAAAAAAATTATTGCATTTTTAAAAGAAGGCCCCTGTTTTGCAAAAAAACAACAACCCACAATTGTTTCCTACCTGCAAATGTAATGCTCGGTACTTCATATCTTGTTTCCAGGGCATCACATACAGTTGTGGAATCATTCCATGTTTGCATGAAAATCTTGGTAAATGGCAATGAATAAACCTGGGAATATAATAAGCAAGTAAGAAGTCAATAAATAAACAAAACTGAAAAGCATAACATTGCGATACATCAAAAACATCTCACAAACTACCAACAGACTGTTGCAATCAAATGGCCTCACTGTAGCACACAATCCAAATAAAGGTGTCCAAAACATCGTATGTAAACCGAAAGACCTAGTAGCCTCAGAAGAAAAAACAGGAGTCATCTTATTACAACATACAGTGTAAAAATTGTAACAGCCACTTTGTAGGACAAACAGGCAGAAGATTAACAGAATACATCTATGAATACCAACTAGCAGTCAGAAGACATAATGAAAACTCCTTAATTTCATAACACATAAAACCATAGTTTCACCTGGGAAACTGTGACCACCAAGTCAAATCCAAAAATGCTACAGAATTTCTGGAAGCTTGGCCCTTTTGACAAATCAGCCATCAACAGGCATATAGAAATAAACAACATCTACATACCATTCAAAAGAGACAATCAAAAAGCCAAAAAGGAAACAAAAAGAACCAAACACCAGATCAGCAGTCAACACCCAGATGAACAGAAATTAACATCAAGATTAATTCTAGACCAACAATCAAGTAAACAACACCCCAATCAAGGAACTACCAACTCAAATAAACAAGTTAACAATAAACAACATCCTAATTAAGTAACCACCAAGATCACTTTCACCAACACTGAAGGGGAAACCTCTAGTCTAGTATATCAAATGAGAGGAAATCCTACTCCCCTATTAGTACCGATGATGTTATATAGTTTGATAATGAATTGTCTGCAAGAGAACAACCAAGCTCAGAGAGTACCAAGGACCTCACAGAATAAAACTTCATTTTAAAATATTTTCAAATGCAGAAAAAGAACAATAATCCCTATACTCTCTCTCTTTCTCTCTCGTGCTAAGAGCGCAAATTGTGCCTATTAATTAAGTTCTATTTATAATATAAAAATAGTGGTACTTGCTTTAGTTTTAAAACCAGTATGATGAAGTTAGTAATGTCAGGATTGGAAGCAATGGTGTCTACAAGGGAGATCCTAGACTAGAGACAAATCAACAGTTGTGGCATCATGATGAAAGTGTGTCCTTTTGTACACAGATGCAGTGTCAACACACAAAAAGGCTTGAATTGCAATGCCATATCTGCCATCATGTTTCTTTTCAGTTCCCCCCTCCTTCCAGGATGCCCTCACTTTGGGCTAATATCACCTCTGTTGTATCTAAGCCAAGCATTAATCCCTATCATTTGGAGTCCCTTCAGTTAGGTCAGAAAGCAAGTTTCCATTTCTGTTCAAATAATATTCATACAATACTTTAAAGCTCTGCAGGGCACTGTGGAAATTACAACCAAAACCAAAACCATCCCCCTTGGTCTATGAAAAAATGGTCTTCCACGAAACCGGTCCCTGGTGCCAAAAAGGTTGGGGACCATTGCTATACACAACCAGATTGATGCACAATTATATGAGTCAATATGCATCATTAGTGGGATTATTCGTGTTAGTGTTTGGGGATAAACCCCTAGCAAAGTATGCAGCAGCAGTCAAGCCAGGCAGCCAAATGAGAGAGGAAGGGTTTTAGAGTATACACACACTGAACACAAACACTGTTTGTAGTTTAAATAGTTTTTAATCCAGTTAGAGTTTAAGCATTGTCAATCAGTCCGTATGTCATTCACAATATATCCATTCAGTAAGACTCACTAACTCAGTCCAGATAATAGTCCTTACTATATCTTTATCAGCCGATAAAGATATCTTCTCCTCCTCCGATGCCTTTCTCCAGAGGATAACGCTGGATATTCAGTAGGACGATCAAACAGTAGACAGTCGCAGTAAAACAGTAATAAACAGTTGTATCCAGCAGTAAACAGCAGTAAACAGTAAACGGTAAACAGTAAAACAGTAGGCAGTCAGCAGCAAGCTTTTTCCTGCTTCCTCTTATTGCAGTTTCTAACCGCACCCTTAATTGGCTAATTACATGCAGTGTGGTGCTTAAAGTTACAAACACTTAAACTATGATACCTTAGTTTATATATTTATCCACCCAAACCTTGTTGGGTATCAATGTTATACCTAACATTCTCCCCTTTTGGGTGATATAAATATATAATACCTTTACAATCTAACCCCATAGTTTTCACAACACTCCTGGTGCTTCCTGGCACCTTGGGCTTTTGTAAAATTATCAGCTACATTGTCCTCCGACATGCAGTACTCCAGCTGTATCATTTTACTTCTCACAGATTGTCTAACGTTTAGGTACCTTAAATCTGTATGCTTGCTCCTAGTTTTGACTGCAATATTTGTGGCCATTTGAATTGCTGCCTGATTATCTTCATGTATAATTATAGGATAATTCACAGTTATGCCTATATCATTCATCATTTGCTTATACATAATCAATTCTGTACATAATAGCGATAAACAGGAGAATTCTGCCTCCATAGTTGACAAACTTATATGCTGTTGTCTTATTGACTTCCAACCTATTAATGTCTTACCCAGCATTATGGCTGTTCCTGAAGTCGACTTTCTTGTGTCTCTTTCTGATGCAAAACTAGCATCAGCATAAGCACTCAGAATTAGATCACCTTTTGGCTCTAGATACAATGAATAATTCATTGTCTTTTTAAGATATCGTAATATTCTTTTAGCTGCAATCCAGTGTCTTTCACTTGGTGCAGAATTGAAACGAGCTAACTGATTCACACTGTACGATATGTCTGGTCTAGACCAATTGCTAATATAAGACAAACTACCAATTAATGATTGATAAATTACCTTATCAAACCCCGGGCTTTGTGCATCAGTGTTGCTAAACTCCTGACTCATTGGAGTCTTAGCCGGCTTACAAAGCTCCATTTTATAATCTATTAGCAATTTGCATATCTTATCTTCCTGAGATATCTTAAAGCCCTTCTGTGTTTTCTGTATATTTAAACCGAGATATTTTTTTATCTCCCCTAATTGCTTAATCTTTATTTT